GAAGCGACTGCCACGCCAGCAGTATCAGCACTGCTCCGAACTCAGCGGCGTGGTCAAGCAGGTCAAGTCGAGCTACGGTCAGGAGTGAAGGGGGGTGTTACGAATAGTAATATTTGATATTACTGTGCACTCCTCACCGCAGCAAAGAGAAGCACGCAGTAACGAGAATGAACGCGAACCGTCAGACGGTTGGAATTGACTCGAAGCGACGGACAGTTGGAACGCATCTGGACCGTCGGAAGCAGACGGCATCGGGCAGCTGCAGGCAGGATGGTTTTGGCGGGAACAGTTACGAAACTGTACGCGCCGCACGGTTGGGAGTGAATTTGAATAAGGGAATGTACCCCTTAGAGTACATGGCTAGATAGGTCTGTTCGCATTCCCTTGTACTCTTATTTATATGACCTTGTTTGCATGTTTTTATCATCTCAAGCATTTACATTCACTCTGCTATTGAGATCAAGGGCCCACCAACTATTCTCACTGCGTGCGAACCTTCCTGGGTAGATCCCGGCCTACGATCAATCTCTGATCGCAGCAAAGATGTCGGTTTCAGACGAACCTAAAACTCTTATCTTAATGATCAGATGAGAACAAACACAGATTCTTAGGAAGCAGATGAATACAAAAAAACAAGTCTTAAACTCAGACCATCAGACCAAATTGGTCTGATAACGAGAACCCTGGTTCCCACACCTCTCCCCAACACATAACATTTGCGCCCTCTCGCTTACGCATGAAATATACATACGGCAGTTCAAACACCCTCGCCCACCTCTTCTGCTTTCTCGCATCCAACCACCTCCCTTTTGAATGCCATTCATTGATTTTACGAACCCATGATGGCTCAAGCTTTTTAGGAGTTTCATATTGAAAATTTTGCTGTTTTAGAGCTCGTTCAGGCACGAAATTTTAGGATTGGGGTTGGGTTGCTGATGATTCAGTTTAGCAAGCAAGCACAGCAAGCTAGGAGTTTGTAAGCAATCTGATATTGCAAGCACTGTAAGCTGACTCTCTTTGTTTAACCCGTTGTGGACAAAACGCATGTCTCGTTTGCAAATATGCAATATTCCTCTCCGTCTTCCCGTAACGGAGACATCAGATTGCACAACTTCTGTACGCTTGATGCGGTCAACTTTGATTCGTCACGGTGCAAAACTTAAACACTGAAAATCGCTTTCCACCATATGGGACCGTCCTCAGCCACGATACAAGAACTGTAAATGTGTGAGAAATGTGCAACCTGACATTGCCCTTGGTGCAAGCCATCCGCCAATTTACAGCAAGCCAATGTTGGTGGGACCGAACCGCGCGCGGTTCGACAATGTCACCACCATCATCACATCACCAACCTGATTTCCCTGCCCACACTCTTCTCTCCGTTGGGCAGGCCCCAAAAGTGCCCAGAACGCAACAGAAAATGCACATCAGGAGACATCCACTAGTTGCTCATTGTGGTCAGGTTGGAGTTGTAAATTTTGGCCTCGTCTGCCCAGCACAAGTCACCCTTGGTTCCATCCGCTCCACGCAGGTCAGCCCCCCAACTTATTATCACTATGCATGCTTGTTCTCCTACTGCAACAGCCCAACACGCGCCAGCTAGTGCTCACTCGAGCCGCGACAAGCGAGAATCGACCTTGGTCCATTTCTTCCTTCTTGGGGCTACTGCCTGGCTGCAAAGCAACCAGGAGGGTCGAACGAAGGCCAAGCGGCTAGATTCTGTTCAGGGTGCCTTCCTAGTGACAGGCAGAGCGTGCTGTGGGCAACAAATGTCCGTCCGTACATAAATTTAGATGCAATAACCGCTTGTGAGCAGTCTAGACTTTCGCCGTAGTAGTACCCAGCGACTGGAACAATGACGGGAAGACACTCCCTCCGCGTGCCTCTCCTCCAGGTCCTCCTAGTGCTAGCCGCCGTTCTCGAGATTGCCTCGCATGCAAGAGCAGTGGCAGTACTCGGCAAAACCAGCAGGCGCCCCTCACCCCCCGACTTATGGCCTCCGTATGAAATCTTAGGAACTTGCACGCACTCAGGTAAGACATACTGCAGGATATCACTAATCTTGTTGTTGACTTGTTCTTTTTTTTTTTCTCCTTTCTTAGCTCCTTTGGTTAAGTGTGATCAACTGACAGTGTTCGCCCTTCCGTGATGCGGCGTCGCAGGTGCGATCAACACTACCATTTCGCCAAATTTTGTCGGGACCACGTGGCGAGGATGGGTCACTTCGCTCGCCTGGTTCGCGAACTACGTCGGCGGCTTGCCGAAACAGGAGCTGACCACGATTCTAGACCTCCTCTTCGATCCCGTTTCTGGCCTGGGTCTGAACATTGTTCGTTACAACATCGGAGGGGGGCACAATAAGAAACTCAGCCCTCAGTTCCAAGACTTCAGTCAGGATTCTTATTGGCGGGGAGTGCCGGGTTTCAAGCCGACAAAGGACGGCCCGTACGATTGGAGCGCGGACGAACGGCAGCGAAACGTGCTGATGGGAGCGAAGGAGAGAGGAGCGAATGTCTTCGAGGCGTTTTCGAACAGCCCGCCCTGGTGGATGACGTTTTCAGGCGACGTCGCAGGTTCGCACACGAAAAGGACGACAAATCTGCGACCCGAGTACGAGAGCGCCTTCGCGGATTACCTCACGACCGTCGTGGCTGAGTTCGCGAAAAGATGGGGGGTAACATTTGAATCGTTGGAGCCGTTTAACGAGGCGTTGGAAGGGTTCTGGGTGGCGGGGATGGACCACGAAGGCTGCTCGTTCAATCCACCCGAAATGGGCCGTGTTATCAAGTACACTTCTGACTCGTTACAAAAGAAAGGGTTAAAAACGAAGCTGGTTGGCGTGGACAGCTGGTACGGAGGTACATCGCAACTGCCTCAGCTGGACAATCACCAGCTACTGACGAGGATAAACGTTCACTCGTACGTGAATAGATACGAGGGTGGGAACGTTGCTGCGTCTTACGAGGAGAAATTCGGCAGTATTCGCGACACAGCGAAACTGATGGGAAAGGACGTCTGGGTCAGCGAAGCAGGACCAATCAGCAAAGGAGGAGGCTTCTGGGATCTCTCGCTCTATCTGGCAAGGAACGTTCTCGAAAGCGTCAATATCATGGAAGCTTCGGCGTACGTCGTCTGGCAGGCGTACGATTTCGGCGCGCACTGGTCTTTCATTCGCTTCCCGTCGTACTATCGTCCGCCGTTCAAAGGCCGAATGATACAGCCCAAGGCAAACAGGCGCTTCTGGCTCTTCAAGCATTTCACGCTACTTGCCAAGCCTGGCTCCAAGCCAATCAGGGTAGGTTCGCGGTGCCAGCACGGAATGAGTGCGTTCTACAACCCTCAAGACGCGCAAGTTACAGTGTTTATGGTAAACCAGGAGGCTGCTGACCGACGAGTGACGCTTAATCTGGAGGGGTTTAAGACTAACGTGGGAGGGACCACCAACGTGGTTGTTAGGAGGACGTCCGAGTTCACGAATTTCAGCAAGAGAGTGTTCACGAAGTTCAAGGGGAAAGCTAGGCTCACGGTGTGGGGACAGACCTTTGTATCTGTCACATTCACCAATGTGGCAGTCTAGACTCTTGAGTTTGCCTGGTAGCTCAGCACTAGGTTGGGTTAATGATTTGGTCATGGCTCTGTGAAGATTTGATGTCCTATCTATTTGTACTAGTCACGTGACAACATTTCTAAGCATGCTCAAACTCCGCAGGTTTTGTGAGGAATCCCTTTATAGGTGGGCTTGGGTAGGAGGAATGATTGATGCTCCATCAGGCGGCCACCTCAAACTAAGATAGAAATTATCCAATTACGGTATGCAAAAAAAATCATTAGTACATGGAGAGAGGTTGCAGAGAAACTGTCAATACATCTCATAAGGTCAAGCATCCTACAATCTCAAGAAAAGGTGTAGACTTCACTGTGATCAAAATGCTATTGCGTGTATTTGGTTTGGTATATGTTCCAATTGTCCCGCCCACACCACCAAGGTTGCTGATTCGCTGCTCCTGCAGAAAACCAGCCCTTGGATTGTTCCTAATACGAGAAACTGCCGTTAATGTCACGCGCTCGTTACAGAACATGCATGACGAATCGCATTGCACACGCGATTCGCCTCGAAATGACGCACATGATGCTGCCCTTGGAAATTCGCCACCACACGGAAAAATTAGCCCCTTCCCCAACCAGCTGTCCTACAATCTCTATTTCCTTGTCCTCCACTCCACCTGATCCCCTCGGCAACACTTTTTCTAAGCATCTCTGCCCTGCCTATTCTCGCCCCACCCTTCCCAACTCCCCTCCACTGCCCACTTCATTACCCGACTGTAAATTCGCCCTCAGGCGACTCCGCTGTGGCCCCTGGACCCTCAGTCAATGAATCGGCTGCTTGTGCTGCTGAGATGGGGTCAGATCAGGCACTTTATGGATGTCCATCGCCGTCCATGCACATGATAAATCGACCATTAGTCCCCGTCCCGTGCGTGAACAGTCGTTCGTACTTCGTTGCGCGATTGCAGTTCCTTGCAGGCCAACCTGATAAGTCGACTTTTGAGGCGGCTCAAATGACGCGAGTTCTTATAGCAAGCCGGAAACACTGATAGAGTCACGACTTTCCGGCTGGCAATACGGGTCGCGCGACTACTGTAACAATCTGCTAGTGCAGCCTGTAATGACCAGGCAATTCTGGACGGTTTAGCCGTCCCGGATCATCAATCACGCACAGAGTCCAGTCGAGAATCCAAAGCTCAAGACATCTTCTCTTGACCGCTCGCACGTGTAAAGATTCTACAAAACGTAGTAGTTAGCAGCAATGAAACACATTCGCGAATCCATACCAGCCGCTCTCTCGTCGCCTGAGGCGACCTTCGCCGTTTCAAGGACAGTAACTAGTCTAGATAGAAGCAGGCGGCGAAAGCTCCGAGCTTTACAGAGGTTTTGCAGCAACCGGAGTCAATTTCTCAGATACCCCTTACGCCACTCATCCGTCTTGGGTTAGTACGACGATGACAACAATCCCGCTCACCCGCTTCTCTCTCAGCGTGTTACTGATCGTAGCCCTCCTCGAGATTGCCGCGCATCCGGCAACAGTGTCGGCCAGAAAAGACGGCGGCGGCTCTCGGCGCCAGCCGCCGCCACCGGACCTGGACCCGACGGCCGAAATTTTCCCGACCTGCAAATTTTCAGGTGCGGTTCCGATACTATCTGGGTAGTGCCTTCAGCTGCAATAATGGCTTGAATGATTATTCGATTGAGCAAAGGACTGTCTTTAGCTGCAATATTGGCCTATCAGACGGGGATAATATTGAGCATAATACGTTAACTTATGCATTTTCGTGTCTGGCGCTAAGCTGCTGCTGTTTCTTTCCTGGGCAGGTGGTATCAATCTCACGGTTTCGCCGAAATTCGTTGGGACCACTTGGCGAGGATGGGGAACTTCGCTCGCCTGGTTCGCGAATTACGTCGGCGGTTTGCCACAGAAGACGCAAAACAAAATTCTCGACCTCCTGTTCGGGAAAGACAACCTGGGTTTGAACATTGTTCGTTACAACATAGGAGGCGGGAACAACAAGAATCGTAGCCGGCAGTTTTATCAAACGCAGCCCACGGATTGGCGGGGAATGCCGGGTTATAAGCCGACGGAAAATGGGCCGTACGATTGGAGCGCAGACGAACGGCAGCGGAACGTGCTGCAGGGAGCGAAGCAACGAGGCGCGAATGTCTTCGAAGCGTTTTCGAACAGCCCGCCCTGGTGGATGACTAAGTCGGGTGACGTGGCAGGACCCCGGTTGATCGGCCAATCAAATCTTAAGCAAGAGTACGAGGGCGCTTTCGCGAACTACCTGACCACCGTCGTGGAGCATTTCGCTAAAAACTGGGGCGTTACTTTCGATACGCTGGAGCCATTTAACGAAGCAATGGAGGGGTTCTGGCAGGCCGGCAATAAGAATGAGGGTTGCTCGTTTGATGCGCCGGCAATGGGGCGCATCATCAAGTACACTTCGGACTCGTTAAAGAAGAAGGGGCTTAAGACGAAGCTGGTTGGGGCGGACAGCTGGTCAGAGTCAACTGCGAAGCTGCCGCAGGTGCCCAATCATCAGCTACTATCGCGGATAAATGTTCATTCCTACATGAACAGGTACCAGGGCAGCGACATTGCGAAGATTTACGAAACGAGTTTCGGGAGTGTTCGCGACGCGGCGAAGCAGCTCGGGAAGGATGTTTGGGTCAGCGAAGCAGGTCCTCTTAGCCAATCAGGAAGCTTGTGGGACGTTTCGCTGTACATGGCGAGAAATATAATCGAAAGCGTCAATATCATGGAGGCTTCAGCGTATGTGTACTGGCAAGCGTACGACACGGGCGGATGGTCAATGATCGACTTTCCGTCGAGCTATCGACCTGGATATTCGGGCTCTATGAAATCACCCACACCCAACAAGCGGTTCTGGCTGTTCAAGCATTTGACGACTCTTGTCAAGCCTGGAATCAAGCCGCTAAAAGTAGGTTTGGACTGCGCGCATGGAATTGCCGCGTTCTACAGCCCGGGCGAGAAGCGGGTTACGGTTTTCATTGTGAATCAGCAGGCGACGGAACGGAAAGTAAAGATTAATCTCCAAGGTTTCAAGACAAATGTGTGGCACGACACGCAAGTGATTGTGAGGACGACATCTTGGTTGTCAAATCTCGGTAAAAGGGTATACAAGCGGTTTAGCGGGGAAGGGACTGTCACTGTATGGGGACAATCGCTCGTCTCTGTCACTTTCTCTAACGTCCGCGTCTAGTGGCTTTTGCTGCGCAATGGTTGCTGATTAGATTGACAGGTTACAGTGCAGTAGGGGCATGATTTGTAAAGCTGAATGCTGAATGTTTCAATAGTAGGCCTGTGTCAACAGCTGATTGAACACCAATGGCAAATATGGTATGAAATCTGTGCGGATAAAATACATACTGGACGGGGAATTTACTGGAGGTTTTCAGAGAAAAAAATTTCTGAAGTTAATCGAGAGAGGAGGATGAAATACAAGGTTTAGCGCATAAATTGTGCAGCTGGGAGGCAGAATAGTGCGGGTTTTCCGCCGGATATGCTGAGTTTTGAGTGTGATTGGGTTCTCACTCTGCAAAATATATAGCAACTACTAACCTACACGGGGAGATTGCAGGATCAAAGTTCACCAAGTCAGTATCTCAGAGATTTCAAAGAAGGTGTAGACGTCATGGTCTTCCAATTGCCTATTGCCCGTTTATTCGGTAGGTGTTCGATTTTCCCGAGCGCGCTACCGAAATCGCTGATTCGTTGCTCTCGCAAAAATCCAGCCCTTGGTCTGTTCCTAGTACGAGGTATTCCCGCTAATGTCACGCGCTCGTTACAGCGCACACATCCCGAACCGCACATTGAACACGCGGCTTGACTTGACATGTCGCACATGTGCCCCTTCAAAATTCGCCCGTCTCCTTCCCACCACACGTCCCGAAGGGTTGCCCCCTTCCCCCAACCGACATTCCCTGTACGGTACGGATTTCCTCCTCCCTTCCAGTCCACTCGAACCTCTCCCCAACGCGCCACACTTCTGTGTGGCCCTATACCAACGACCTCACTTGCGATCTTGTTCCCCTCTCCCCCTCCCTGTCCCCTTCGTTATCAGACGAATCCTTCGCATGCCCTTGATTGCACACGACTTCGTCGCATGCCCTTGATGAAAACGACTACGTCGCATGCCCTTGGTTAAAACGATTTCCGTCACATACCTGCGCTTTGGTCAAAACGATTCGGTCACCCTTGCCCTCGCGCTGAGCGACTCCGTCGCAATTCTTCTAGATACAAACCCTTGCTTCGTCGCATATCTCCGTCGCACGCGACTCCCGCAACTTCTCTCTGACGCGAGTTCTTATAGCAGGCATACAGCACTGTTAGAGTCACGACTTCTCCGTCTATGAATACGAGTCGCTGTCTACTGTAACGATCTACTAATGCGGCTTCTGATGTGCACCTGATAGTAGACGGTCCAGTCGTCCCGGAACAGCGACCCGACACGTAGTCTTTGTCAAGTCGAAAGGCTGACCGCTCTTACTGGTACTAATAGTATATAAGGGTACTAATCAGCTGCTATGGAGCATATTCGCGAGCCCACACACGAAAGTCTATTTACCCCAGAGGTTGTCTTAGTTGTTTCAACGACGGTCATTACTAGGGAGCAGGCGAAGCAGACACAGGCTAAGCTTAGCAGCCTCATTTTACCCAAGAGACCCATAATCCCACGCGGATATGACGACGATTAGGATACCGCTGATCCGCTTCTCTCTCAGTGTATTCCTGATCATAGCCCTCGGGATTGCCGCGCATCCGGCATCAGTGACGGCCAAGACAAGCCGCGGCGGCCATCCGCGCAAGCCGCCACCTCCTAATCTAAGCCCGTCGTCCGAAATCTTCCCGACCTGCAAGTTTTCAGGTGCGGTGATAATGGCTTTAAATATATTGAAGTAACTTTAGGACGATCTTTATGTGAGATCGTATTGAACTTGGATCTCATGCTTAGCATGATGCTGATCACAATGCTGCGTCGAGAGGGTTTCGATCCTCTCTGGTCACTCACTTCTGATCACGCGGATAATGCGGATCATTCAGGGAAGGCGCATACGGATTATTTGGACCATGCTGATTATGCTTATCATGTTTAACATAAAGATTTTCATGCTTAGTAAGCTAATCTTAACCCCCTTACCCCGTCTTATGTCAAACCCGAAACCCTGTGCAGGTGGTATCAACTTCACGGTTTCGCCAAATTTCGTCGGAACCACGTGGCGAGGGTGGGGCACTTCGCTCGCCTGGTTCGCGAACTACGTCGGCGGTCTGCCGCAGAAGACGCAGAACCAAATGCTTGATCTCTTGTTCGGGAAAGACAACCTAAATCTCAACATCCTTCGTTACAACATTGGGGGCGGACACGACAAGAAGCGCAGCCCACAGTTCTATCAAATGCAGCAGACGGATTATCGCGGCATGCCGGGCTACAAGCCGACGGAGAAGGGGCCGTACGATTGGACCGCGGACGAACGGCAGCGGAGCGTGCTGCAGGGAGCGAAGCAACGAGGCGCGAATGTCTTCGAGGCGTTTTCGAACAGCCCGCCCTGGTGGATGACTAAGTCGGGTGACGTGGCAGGCCCGCCATTGATCGGCCAATCGAACCTGAAGCCTGAATACGAGAGCGCTTTCGCGAATTACCTTACGACCGTCGTGGAGCAGTTCGCGAAAAAATGGGGTGTTACTTTCGATACGCTGGAGCCGTTTAACGAAGCAATGGAGGGGTTCTGGCAGAAGGGGATGGCGCACGAGGGCTGCTCGTTTGATCCTCCGGCAATGGGACGTGTCATCAAGTACACTTCGGACTCGTTAAAGAAAAAGGGGCTTAAAACGAAGCTGGTTGGCGCAGACAGCTGGTCACGCGCAACTGCAAGGTTATCGCAGGTAGCCAATCATCAGCTACTATCGCGGATAAATGTCCATTCTTACATGAACACGTACGAGAACAGCGACGTTCCGAAGACTTACGAAGACAGATTTGGGGGCGTTCGCGACTTGGCGAAGCAGCTAGGGAAGGACGTCTGGGTTAGCGAAGCAGGGCCCGCTAGCAAAGGAGGAAGCCCTTGGGACGTTTCGCTGTACATTGCGAGAAACATTATCGAGAGCGTCAATATCATGGAGGCTTCAGCGTACGTGTACTGGCAAGCGTACGACACGGGATATGGCTGGTCAATGATCGACTTTCCATCGAGCTATCGACCTGGGTATTCCGGTGCAATGAAAACACCCAAGCCGAATAAGCGGTTCTGGCTCTTCAGGCATTTCACGATGCTTGCCAAGCCTGGATCCAAGCCTATCAAAATAGGTTCGGACTGCGAACATGGAATGACTGCGTTCTACAGCCCGGACGACAAGCGGGTTACGGTTTTCATCGTGAATCAACAGGCGACGGAACGGAAAGTGAAGATTAATCTCCAAGGTTTTAAGACAAACCTGGCAGGAAACACTCGAGTGGTTGTCAGAAGGACTTCCTGGTCGGCGAATTTGAGCAAAACGGTATACAAGCGGTTTACGGGAAGAGCGACTGTTACTGTATGGGGGCAAACCCTTGTTTCTGTCACTTTCACTAACTTGTCAGTCTAGGGCTCTAGGGACTACTGCTTAAAAGAGACTTGATAGATTAAGATTAGAGATGTGCTATGCTGAATGCTAGGTCTTATGCATTGTTTCCATGATTGGCCTGTTTCAACAGCTTGTTGACATCAATGGCAAAAATGAATTGAATCATAAGATGCGCAAGTGAAGTACATATGCTATACAAGGGGAATAAATTGTACCAGCATGGGCAATTCAGTATATACAGCACAGCAGCTAAAGGTCGACATCCCCGAAGTTACCTCTGGATACTGCACGAGCTCGCTCGTGGTTCTTGGCACGAACCACAGCCACCCAGACCACAACTATCAACATAAATACTCCAAAAACAACTCCAAGTACTGTAGCTACTATCGCGCCACTGCTTAGCGAGCCACTGCTTTCCGAACCAGGGTAGGACGGCGCAGGGGTAGATCCCAAGTCCCCCGTTTTCTCTGCGGATGCCTTGTCCGAGGTGGCGGGTAAGGAAGCGGGAGCAGGTGACCAATACGCGTTATTGCCAGCTCCGTTGCTAGCTGTGTTGCTGCTGTTGGCGGCAAGACCATCTATATCTGCATAAGGCGAGGAGCTTGGGGCAAGGGTATCAGGAGCAGGCGAAGGGACTGGAGGGGATACGGACCCTTCCGCAAGATCCGCTAAACTACTGGTCGAGTCGATCTTTTGGCAGAAAGTGAGGGAAGGGGCGAATGTGAAGAGACATAAAAGCATCAACAGGCTGAAAACTCGCTGGTGAATTGAGTGCGGAAGAGTCTTGTAAAAGGCTCGTATTTGAACCCTACTACGGGAGCCATAGCTAGACGGCGGACGATGGTAAGAACTATGATTAACGACAGAAGAATAACTCTTTGCCAGGCGCGCGCCTTTTTTTCTGGCAGCCATAGTCGATGGTGATTCGGGTCTCTATTTGATAGAGTGTGGTGTGCGGAAAATAGCAATGGCTTGTGATTTATTTCCAAATCTGGTTCAGGTGAAGCTTGCTCGGTAGGTAGGTGAAGCTCGCTCGTTTGGTAGGGATTCGCTAAACCCGCTGTTGTGTTCCGCGATAACGAACATACAGGCAACATAGATTACACTTGACCTGGTTCCACTCAATGCGTTTTTGCTAACGTAACGCTAGCGGTTTCATTTGGAATGGAACATCTCCGTTGGGGAGTGAGCGAAATCGCATGTGTCAGTGAGGTCGCATCGCTTCAATGTGACACTCGAGCTCCAATCGCACTCAGCCTCAAACGTCCATGGGACGGCTGCTGGACCTGTTTGCGACCTTCAGAGCTGTACAATGTAGCGTTGCGACTCGTCTGGGTCGTTCTGCGATACGAAGACCGTCAATTTCTTGGAAAATGCAGTCGCGGATAATCGTTGGAGCAAAGGTCCGCTTGGGGGTTGCTCGACAGACAGCTGGGTTCAAGGGACAGGTGGCGAACCGCGCCTCCCACCAAAGTGGCGCAATTTGTTCAAGTGATTGGGCGCGCCTTGGGCTTGAAGAGAAATTGCCTGCCCAATGCCAACAAGTTTGGAAAATGTCGCGCAGCGTGAGGGAGCGGGTAATGAATGCTGGTCGGTACTTTCCGTGTCACCTGTTTCACTTTTCTCCCCTCAAACAGCCTCGATTGAATCTGCAAGGTATTATTGAGCCCTCGCGCGCGAAATTGGAGCGCGCAGTCCCCCATGCAAACTAATATACCCAGGTATGGCGTGTCGAACACTGGCTGATCGCCGTATATATTCGCCAAGAGTTTTGAGCAGGATACGTTGTTGAATTCTGGCTAGTCTGGAAGTAAACCTCCCGACGATCGGCAAGACGGGTTTTGAATGCGCTAGCACTTCCCTGTAGCCTCAAGCCTTCTTTAAACCTATGCACGGATTTCCTCGCTCCCCAGTGCTTCAGGAAAACAGAATAACTGTCGTCAGGTTTCTAGCCTAAATCTCTACTGCATCTCCCTCATGGCAAGTAGCACCGGGGCGGCTCCTAATAGACAAAGGCTTTCTCCATTGCCATTGCTGTTCATAGTGTCCGCGTTATTGAGTGCCTCCTTCCGCGCCTCCCACGCGCGCGCGTTACATCGCGACAGCATCCGCCCGGCATCAACAGCGGGCGCAGCGGGGCGATACTCGCTCGACGAAATCACCCTCCACGCGCGCATGCGGCGAGAGCGGCGCAACCGTAACGTCCGGCTGTTCTCCGTCGAGGAATCCGCGTCGCTCTCCCCGCCGCCGTCGCTACAACCGATCAGCGAGTTGTTCGACACCTGTAGTTTCCCCGGGCCGATCAGCTTGAATATCACTCCCTCGTTCATCGGGACAACGTGGAAGGGATGGGGCACGTCTCTTGCTTGGTAAGTCCATTATCCATTTTTGTTCACTCAGCATCGCCTTGCCCTTTCTCTCGCCACCTTTCGGTATCCCCCCTCTTCGTCCTTCCTCCCCCCTCTCTTCCTCTCTCTGCCCCCATTCTTTCAAACATAGTAGGTTGAATCACTCTTCCATTGCATAGCTCACCAACCCTCCTTATCTTCTCATACTCTGAACTCCATTATTCAAATATACCCCATTGCTCACATTTCCCCACTAAACACCAACTCTGCCATTGTTCTTCTAGGCAAGGCAACTACATCGAAGGCTTCCCAAAGGAACGTATGGACACTCTGCTAGACCTAGTCTTCCACCCCACGTTTGCCCCATTGCTCACATTTCCCCACCGAATGCCATGCCAACTCTCTCCCCTTGTTCCGCCAGGCAAGGCAACTACATCGGAGGCTTTCCTAAGGATCGAATAAACACTCTGCTGGACCGAGTCTTCCACCCCACGAAAGGGTTCGGTCTGAATGTCCCTTAAATGCCTATTTCCCCCCTTGTTCCGCCAGGCAAGGCAACTACATCGGAGGCTTCCCCAAGGATCGAATGGACACATTGCTAGACCTAGTGTTCCACCCCACGAAAGGGCTGGGTATGAATATCGTCCGGTACAATATAGGCGGAGGGCACAACGACACGTTAAGTCCGCAGTTTTCCAAAGATGTGGAGACGAGCTGGAAGGCCATGCCCGGGTATTGGCCGGCGGAGTCTGGGCCGTACGATTGGAACGCGGATCAACGGCAAAGGAATGTTCTCTTTGGCGCGAGGGAGCGCGGCGCGAATATTTTCGAGGCGTTTTCGAACAGCCCGCCGTGGTGGATGACTGTGTCGGGTGACGTGGCAGGCGCGTCGGAGAAGAACCAGCCGAACCTTAAGCCGCAGTACGAAGGGAAATTTGTGGATTACCTCACTACAGTGGTGGAGAAGTTCGCAAAAGACCCGGCTTGGAATCTGACTTTTGATACCCTGGAGCCGTTCAACGAGCCGCTTGAAAATTTCTGGACCGCGAGAAACGGGCAGGAGGGGTGCAATTTCGAAGTCCCTGGTATAACCCGTGTGCTGTGGGCTACTCTAGACGCTTTGAAGAAGAAAGGGCTCCAGACGAAAGTCGCCGCATTTGATAGCTGGACGGAGGACTCGGTTTCGGCGATCAACTCTATAGCGAGGATAAACGAAGTGAAGCGGATTAACGTTCATGGGTACATGGACCCGGCCCCGAGCAATCAGGATCCGGTCAGCTACACCACCCAGACGTACAGTAAAATGCGCGATATAGCCAAGGGGATGGGGAAGGAGGTTTGGGTAAGCGAATCCGGACCAATGGGGCGATTCGGACAACCGTTCGACCTGTCACTGTACATGGCCCGAAACGTGATCGAGACCGTCAATATACTTCAAGCATCTGCGTACGTGTACTGGCTGACGTACGATTCTGATCCTCGATGGGCAATGATCCACTTCCCGTGGAATTACCCTGCCGGGTATACAGGTCCAGTGAGAAATCCGAAGCGGTCTAAAAGGTGGTATATATTCAAGATGCTAACGAGTCTCGTGAAGCCAGGAAGCCAGCCGCTCACGATCCCCACGGAGTGCTCTCACGGTATCGCGGGATTCTTCAACGAGGCGGACTCGGTAGTGAGTCTGTTTATAGTGAATCAGAAGGCGGAGCCGAAACAGCTATCGGTGAATCTGCAAGGGTTTCGGATAGACTCGAGGGGGATCACGAAGGCGATTGTTCGGCGGACGTCTTGGGTATATAACATGGTGCAGACCGAGGTGATCACAGGCGGTACAGCGAGCATCACTGTAGAGGGGCAAAGCTTTGTCTCTCTACAATTTACCAACATCAGGAGAATATGATTTGGCTGGGTAGGTGGGTGTAGCGTAGGCTAAAGAATTTGGTTGTCCCTTCCTCAGAGACGGACCATACGTGGTAGGAAGGTGTGGTGTAGGCAAAGGGGTTGAATGTCCTTTCCTCAGGGACATAACATAATTGCCTATGAAACATACGGTATGCTGGTGCTCAGGACTAAAGCCCCCGCTACTAATTCTGCTGAACGTGAGTGAATGTTACAGATAAGAAAGACTGACCTTCCACATCAATTACTACTCTCGGTTCAAAAGTTACGTTTGCAGAACTGACTACAATATCATCTGCCCACGTGGTCCTGCGAATAACTGCCTCTGATCGTCCCTCCACATGCAGCTTGAACCCAGTCAGCCTCACATCTAACGTAGCATCCTCTGCCCTCTGAATCACTATAAACAGACTCACTGTCCGTTTCTCCGTACTGTAGAAAGCAGCTACAGTGTGTTGGCACTTACTTGGCACCACCAACGGCAGGCTCCCAGGCCTCACCAGGTCTGTGAACTGCTTGAGCATCCAAAACCGCTTCAGCAACACAGGAGCATCAAACGGTCCAGTGTAACCAGGAGGGTGGTCCCAGTCTATCCTGATCAGTGACCACTTGTCGCTGCCGTCGTAAATTTGCCAATAACTATAGGCAGAAGCTTCCAGGATGTTGACTGATTCAATGATGTTCCGCATCATGTAGAGCGAAAGGTCGTAAGCACTACCATCCCTGAGTAACGGACCTGACTCGGATACCCACACTTCCTTCTGGAGAGATCTGGCAAGCCGCTTCATATGGGTGTAACGTGCAGTTGTCAACAATTTAGCCTGTGCAGTTGTCACGTTTAGGTACATGTGTAACGGCAGAGGGTAACCGTGCACGTTGATCCTGTGCAGGAGAGTATTCCCGAGGACCAGTGGTAACCCTATGCTGGTTAAAACCGCGTTGCTGTCGACCCCAACCAGCTTTGTCTTGAGCCTCCTTTTCCGCAGAGCCAGCCAAGTCTTGAGTAGAACTCGGCTCATCTCAGGTGGATTGAAGTTACACCCTTCCTGCTCCATCCCACTCACCCATTGCCCCTCCAGCCCTTCATTAAACGGCTCTAGTGTATCGAATTCAATGTTCCCCAGCGTCGGGCTTTTTGCAAGCCCTTCCACGACTTTTACGAGGTATTTGGCAAACTTCCCCTCGTACCGTCTCAGCAGGTTCGTCCTCCACGGCTTCTTTGCCCCTGAGACGTCCTTGCTCTCAGTCATCCACCAGGGCGGGCTGTTGGAAAACGCCTCGAACACGTTCACCCCGCGGGCCTTGGCTCCCAGCAGCACCGCCTGCTGCCGCGAATCCGCCGTCCAGTTGAACCCCGCTGCCTGCGCCGGCCAGTACCCCGGCATGGCCCGCCAGCGCAGGGGAGAATCAGTGTATAGCTGAGGGCTGTACTGCGGGAGCGAGCCGCCGCCTATATTAAATCGCACTATATTGATGTTGAGGCCCGGGGGGAGGAACATGAGGTCCAGCAGAGGGTCCATCGCCGCCTGGGGGAACCCGCTGATGTAGTTGCCCAGCCTGGTTGGGGGGGGGGTGGAGGGAGTTTGGGGAGGGGAAGGAAAAAGGATAAATGGGAGTAGCCTCTGGAACAATATGCAGAAAACCACAGATCGTCATAACAATCACCTCACCATCCCAACGATGTGCCCCATCCCTTCCACTTCGTTCCGATCTGCCGTGGAGTGATGGTCATGCTGAACGGACCCTTACCACCCGAGCACACTCCAAACCGCTCCCACGCCGGCTCTAGGGTTGGGGCTGGTGGTCTGATTATAGTTCCTGCATCCCTTGATGACGTATTTACACATGCGTTAGGTGAGTATACAGAAGGTGTGACTGCACCGGGAACGTTAAAAAAGTTTGAGAGGGATGACCGTCGGAAAGATGAGACCATTCGGCCGTCAGCGACTGTAATTCCTACTACGAGCAAAACCAGGAGGAGTTTGAAAGCTGTGTTGAGAGACCTAGGCGGGGATGCTGCCGTTCCTGAATGACGGTGATGTAAGAAATTAGTGGGCATTGTCAACGTTACGCTGTTTAGAATAGATAAAACACAAGAATAGAAAATAACTTATGATAGATCGAAGCAGTGCATTGCGAGAGGATCACGGCTGAACGGCATGAAGATTTAGTCGTCAGTCTGGCTGGTTCGACATCAGATCCCCGTCGCGAATTTCTGGGCTTGAAGTTTAGCTAGTGACAGGCTGAGTAAGGGAGAATGCCATTGGAGCGGTAATGAGAGATGTTTCCACGGAGGTACACAGACGGACTGAGTTGGTCCGAAGCACGACGGTCTAAGCACGACGGTCTGAGATGTTTTCACGTCGCGACGCGTGATGAGCCTAGGTGGGCTTTGAGATACAGTGTACTTTCGAGACATCTTAGTGAAGGGGTACGTTCTTGGCTGATTGGGAGGGACTATCCTGACGATGCCCCCCTTTGGTCCCAACTTAGGGGAGTGTCACCAGGGCCAGGGCAGAAGCAGAAGCGGCTTGGGGAATGCCAAGAAGCGAGTGTGCGGCGGAAGAGGCGGGGAGAACCCTATGTTCCACAGCAGACTGGCACATTTGGGACCGCCAAGAAGATGTTTCTAGGAAGAAATTGCAAGACAGAATGTTTGTACGCGGTTGTGTTCGGTAAGGTTGCTGTTGCTGGTGGCGATCCAGCCCTGTGTGTCGGTGTGGCGAGGTGTATTGTCAAAAAAGAAGTGTCAATGGATACACGTCACCCTGACGGCTAGAGGGATGCTTGGCTTGGATGCATCACGAGCCACCTGACCTGCAGGAGTCAGTTTTGTTCGTGACGGCGACATGTGGTGGCGAATTGATTTTTGTCGAGTCTGCACCCTACCGAACCATCACAACCTGTCGAAAAGTCTACCCAAACCGAAATGGAACGAGCTACACATTCGCGACGGTCTTCGCGGTCCACTGGGGAGGAAGGCACGTTGTTTGACTGCTGCTGGTGACGGCTAGCAGAGCAGTGTGACGACTTGACACGTTCTGCTTCGTGGTGATTGGGGTGACAGAGTCCCACCGACTTCTCGACTCCAGCCCAGAAACCTTCGGTTCCGTACCAACTTTCGAGCCAAAGGAGACAGGCCAAAGCGCTTGAAATGAGGCGAACACAGCTTCGTAAGGCTAGTTTGGGACCGCGAAAGCGAACTTTACCAGGGTTTGGCATGCAATCGGACGTCATATCTCGAGTGACTGTCCATCGAGCCGTCCAGTTTAGGCTTAGAGCGTGTTACACCTGCCCTAATCTCAAGGATCACGTAGCTAAGATCACCATAACCCCAACCCTAGGATTACGAGTGGCAAAACAACAATTTGTGGTGCCAATCACAATCCTTGTTGGTGTACCATCTGCAAATTTGCAATGGTGATCCTCTGCGACCAGGCGACGTCGCCTGAAACGACGCGACAGTCGCGATCGTCGGATATTTTTGTTGACCACGTTGACTGCGTTACTGATCCGAAATCAACCGCTTTATTGGTTCGAACTTCATCAAAAGAATGCTCTGATTAGTCGCGATTTTGTTACAGCAGTTCACGACAACAAAAGTTTCGTCATCAAGGATCACCTTGTCTTTGGTACAAAGATGCAAGGATCACCGAGAGATTGGCAGTCACCACGATCTCCCAAAAAACACCAAGATCGGGTATCACGATCTCTCGTGATTTCGATCCTTCCTCTGTTGGTACATCACCTGACACAGTGATTACTGTACAGTGGTAGGTATGACACTGTTCTGTAAGGATCGCCTACGTGATCCTCAAAATGCAGCAATCTTTGCTTGGGTGTAACACGCTCTTACAGATGACAGGTTCGGCATCCCACCCAATCACCCAGCCATCATGGTGCCAAACCAGCGTCATCGCGCCTCGCCTCGAAATGCCCGTTTCGTACTCTTCCCGTAACATTGCCGTGCGCGAATGTGTCAAACGCACTCCCCGCAACTGCTCGAACATTCCACGTTCCCCCTCCTGCTCTCAATTGGGGGGGAAATGTTCCCCTCCACCATCGGTGGGATTTTCCGACGCGCCACATACACATACGCGTACGCCCCTCCGCCACATTTCCGACACTTCAACGCGAGGAACGGTGCGCGGACAACTGGGTTCCTCGCCCCACACCCCGCCTCACTCGCTCCCCCTCCATCCATCCCATCACTCCTGCCAGACGGGGGCAGGGGGCAATCCCACCCAAGGCCCGTTTCTCGGCTGAAGCGTGCATGGTCAACATTCAACCGACAAACCGGTTGCCCCTCGGCTATTCTATAGTCCGCTGTACACCCCATTCATTGCCACATTTGTTCACGCCACTCCAGGTACAGCCACGGCGAGTTGGTTCGGAGCAACGCGCGGTCTCAGTCGCACCTCGCGACAACCATAGTAGACTCCTTTATCCGTACAGCTTTAGTCTGACTCGGCCTGCCCGTACATCCCGCTCCCGTTACCGCTCTAAAGGAATTGCTGCTGGCCTGACTCTTTACTTCCGCCCGTGATCCTCGACGCGATTTTATGCGAACTCTGCGAAAAGGTGACCTGTTTTCGTCACGGCGTCGTTGACAATGCCCTCTAGTTTTTCCCGTCACCTTCATCCACGAATAGTAGCATCCTCGTCAAGATCGTTCAACACAGCCTTTGTGCTCGTTCTGCTCTTAATAGGAGCTTCAGCTACAGCCGCTGAAGGGTCGTCGATAATCGACCAAGTGGTCGCGTTTTTCCAGCAGCTACTCCCCTCGAACCACGGGAATGCGCAGGACACAGCCACACCTCCCGCACAGTCACCTCCTCTACAGTCACCTCCCGTACAGTCACCTCCCGTAGAGTCACCTCCTGTACAGTCACCTGCCCCTTCCCCTGCACCAGAAACCGAACCATGGAATTTCACGCGATACCCCATTGAGTTGCACGATACGTCGTTAGTGAACACGTCAGCATGGACGGCAGGAGCGAAGGCCAGACCGCCAGCGCCGACGCTCGAGCCGGCATGGGAGCGGTTCGGAGTGTGCTCGGGCGGTAAGGGACCGTTCCACGTGACGATCACTCCGCGGCAGATCGGAACGAAGTGGAAGGGTTGGGGCACGTCTCTCGCATGGTGAGTTGGTTGTAAGAATGTATGACTATGTTGAATTGTCCTAACCACACCCGCTCACTTCCTTCGAACTTCTATACTTTCACTGCACCCCGCCTTCTCCCCTGGTCCACTTTCACCCCACGTCCCCTTTACCCCATGACCGGTTTCCCCTCACATCCTTCCCCCCACGTCCGCATTCCCCCCATCCCACCCCCAGGCTGGGCAACTACATCGGCGGGTCGGGTTCCCCCATTCACCATTTCTCCTTCCCCTCCCCTCCATTCCCCCCCCCCAACCGCCTTCCCCCAGGCTGGGCAACTACATCGGCGGGTTCCCCCAGGCGGCGATGGATCCTCTCCTGGACCTCATGTTCCTCCCCTCGGGCCTCAACCTCAATATAGTGCGATTCAATATAGGCGGCGGTTCTCTCCCGCAGTACAGCCCGCAGCTTCACTCGGACGCGCTGCTGCGCTGGCGGGCCATGCCGGGGTACTGGCCGGCGCAGGCAGCGGGGTTCAACTGGACGGCGGATTCGCGGCAGCAGGCGGTGCTGCTGGGAGCCAAGGCCCGCGGGGTGAACGTGTTCGAGGCGTTTTCCAACAGCCCGCCCTGGTGGATGACTGAGAGTAAAGACGTTGCGGGGGGGAAGAAGGCGTTTCAGACGAATCTGCTGCCGAAATTCGAGGGGAAGTTTGCGAAATACTTGGTGGAGGTTGTGGAAAGGTTTAAAACGGATCCGGCTTTAGGGAACATCGAGTTCGATACACTGGAGCCGTTTAACGAGGCGTTAGAGGGGCACTGGCTAAAGGGGATGGGGCAGGAGGGGTGCAATTTCAACGTGTTCGAAATGAGCCGGATCATTTTCAAGACTCTGCAGCTGCTGCGGGAGAAGAAACTCAAGACGAAACTCGCCGGTGTGGATAGTTTTCCGGGCATGACGGCTCTCGAGTTCCCACTGCTCGTGGGAAAAATATTTCTCCACCGGGTAAACGTTCACGGGTACACGCTGCCGATACAGCAAGTCGTGAACATGACTGCTTCCGTCGCCGAGAAAACCTACGCCGCTCGATACGTCGCGATGAAGGTGCTCGCGAAATCGCTCGGGAAGGAGATCTGGGTGTCGGAATCTGGGCCGTTGAACAAGTTCGGCAACGCGTACGATCTCTCCCTCTACATGATGCGGAATGTGATCGAGACTGTGAACATTCTCGGGATCTCCGCGTATGTCTACTGGCAGATATTCGATCCAAACGACACATGGTCACTGATCGGTCTGAACTGGAATTATCCGCCAGGATATACAGGTACAGTAGACCCCCCCACCATGCTAAAAAGGTATTGGATGTATAAGCAGTTCACGGATCTGGTGAGGCCAGGAAGCCAGCCGTTAATGGTGCCGCTGGCGTGTCGGCACACTGTAGCTGCGTTCTACAGCA